CAGTTCAAGACTACAGTGATCAGTAGTTTTGACCTTTATCACTGTGATCTTGATCTTGGTCATTATAAGTTGAATTATTTATTTAAACCATGTTTGTTATTTGTAATTTTTTGGGAGAGATACATTTCCTTTTAAGGAATGACACTCGTACACACATATACAGTACATGTGCCCATTTACAAAAGGAAAGTCGTGTCTGACAAACTTGATTGAGTTACACACAGAAATCACAATAGGGTGATGCATCAAATGAACACATCCACAAGGGCTGTGACGAGGATTCGAACATACGTCCAAGAGCATCCCAGACATTGCCTTAATCGACTGAGCTACGACATGGTCAAAAGAATTGCAACCAGAAGTTCTACTGAACTTACTGGATCCTGCAGCCTCTGAGACACAAACCAGGATTTTACACAATTCCCCCATGCACTCGAGTTATGTCAATAGTTCTACCTCTTCGCAACTAACTTCTGGTTGCAATTCATTTGATCATGTCATAGCTCAGTCGATTAAGGCAACGTCTGGGATGCTCTCAGGTGTAGGTTCGAATCCTTGTCACGGCCCTTGTGGATTTGTTCATTTGATTGAGTTGTATGACATAAGATGGGAAAAAGAAGTCTGGGTAGACAAATTTCCTAGATGTCAAAAAGCATTTTACATGAATGGCTAGTGTACAAGATGGAGAAGCAGGCCAAGATAGCTGGGAAAATGCTAAATTAGGGTAAGGGAATAGCTGAAGGACAAAAACTAAGTCATAGTCAGATCGGAAGTTTCAAGCTGGATAAATGTAACAATTACCTCTGCTGTTCCTAATTTACGTGAATGACATTCCTGAGGGAGTGAGCTCGTACATATCAGTGTTTGCAGATGATGCAAAGCTGTTGAGAAATGTAAAAACAGAAAAGGAATGCATGAAGTTACAGGAGAACCTTAACAAACTCCAGGAGTTGGCAAATAAATAGTTGCTGGAATTCATCATCAACAAATGTAAGGTAATGAAGATGGAAAAGGGAGAAAGGAGACCAGGAGGTATCTACTATATAAGGGAAAGGCAGTTAAAGGAATAGGAAAGAAAGATTTGGAAGGGGGATACTATTTCAACACTAATGTTAGAGGTACACAAAGAAGGTAACAATGGTAGCATACAGATGCTGGCAAACATAAGAACATTGTTTATGAACCTAAATCAGGACTACAAGGCAAGCTGCACTATTTATTAGACCCATACTGGAATATACAACTTCTGCACAGAATCCACACCTTGTGAAACAAAAACTGGAAAAGTGCAGAGTTTTGCAACAAAATGGTGCCAGAAGAAAGGCTAATGGAACTAAATCTCTCAGTCCTAGAGGATAAAAAAATAGATGAGGATATAATCACAACATGCAAGATACTGAGGGGGATAGACAAGGTGCACAAGGACAGCCTCTGCCAATTCAGATTGAAAGAAAGAAGGACAAGAGAACACAGGTGGAAGCCGGAAACACAAATGAGCCAAAGGAATGTAAAGAAATACTCGTATCTTGTATTAGTGGTCAACAAGTGGAGTGCACCGAAGGAAGAAGTTGTGGAAGTTACCTCCATCCACAACATTAAGGCCAGATTCGACAGAGAATTTGAACATCAGAATAGTTAAATTACAAAACAGGTACAACAAGGCTAGTAGGCAGGGCATAAAGAGTTGGACCTCACTTCCCTGTAGACACTGATAGTAAGTACAGTACACAAGCATTGTTCTTGAGCTATGAAGAAAGGCAGAGGGAACTTCACTATCTCCCGGTGATTTGTCCCTCAAAAGAATCCTTGATACCTTTGATATCGCTCGACATGCACATTTTTGTTTTAGAATTGGCATCCTTAGTGATATTTAGTGCCTTTTGAATATTCTACGACTTTGATGCTGCTACATAGTTTCTCTGGTTTAGCGCTTTCTTCTGGTAATTACTTTTCTTTACTTCACTACACTGGAGGAAAGAAGATAGGGGAGATATGATAACGACGTGCAAGTGTAGTGTGTTATACAACATGGAATCAATGTTTGAATTACCATAAGTAACAGAAGAATGAGAGGACATAATTTAAACTGAAAACACAGATGAGTCAAGAGTTTTCAGAAATAACTTTTTCAGTCTGAGTGGTAAATGAGTGCAATGGACTAGATGAGGAAGCTGTTGAAGCCAATTTGATACACAGTTATAAATGTCAATATGATAAAAAAAAGTAGAGTCACTGCACTGAACTACTGAAGGCTGAATGCTCGACCCTGCAAGCACAGGTGAATACAACTATGTGAGCACTCACATACACACACACACACACGCTTTGAGATATAATCTAGAAGAAAGTGGGGACATTGAAACAGTTGTTGAACTCAATTTCAAGAGAGGACACTATTTGGAACATAGAAATTTTTTTAATGAGTGTAATTGGACAGACTTGTTGCTAAGCAATGAAGTAAATGAGATGTATGCCAAATTTTGCAAAATATACGATATTAAGGCACACAAACGTTCATACCAAAACAGAGATGCAGGACCAGAAAACAGGATTGGTTCAACAGAAACTGCATGAGGGCCAGAGATTAAAAGATTAAAAAATGGAATCAATACATAAAGAGGCCAAACCCCAAAACATTCCCGCGATACAAAGATGCGAGAAACAACTACACGGCAGCGAGGAGAGAGGCAGAAATAAATTTTGAATAAGGGAAAGCGGACAAATATAAAACAGAACCAGATCTATTCTATAAATTCATAAACAACAAATTACAGGCAAATGATAATATTCAGAGGTTGAAAATGAGAAACAGATTCATGGAAAATAAGGAAATGTGTGAAACATTAAAAGAAAAATTACAAAGTGTGTTTGTACAAAATGAAATCTTGAGGGAACCACACAATAAGAATTTCAGAGAACATAGAGCACACAGTGGTGTCTAGAGACAAGGTGGAAAAAATGCTCAACGAGCTAAATAAGAACAAAGTAGTTGGCCCAGATGGAGTTTCATCATGGGTTCCGAGAGAATGTGCATCCGAACTCAGCATTCCACTTACACTGATTTTTCAAACATCCCTGTGTACAGGAGTCGTAGCAGATGTGTGAGAAAAGGCTAACATAGTGCCGATCTACAAAAGTGGAAGCATGGAAGACCCCTTCAATTAGAGACCTGTATCATTGACAAGTGTAATAGTCAAAATATTGGAAAAAATAATTAAAACTAAATGGGTAGAACACCTGGAGACAAATGATATAATATCATACCATCAGTATGGTTTTCGATCTGGAAGATCCTGTGTAACGAATTCACTCAGTTTCTATGATCGAGCCATCTAGATTTTACAGGAAAAAGATGGTTGGATTGCCTGCCTCTATCTGGCCCTAAAAAAGGCTTTTGTCAGAGTTCCATATAAGAGGTTCTTTTGGAAACTGGAACATATTGGAGGGGTGACAGGTAAGCTTCTAACATGGAAAATTTTTCTATCTGATCGAAAAATGAGGGCAGTAATCAGAGGAAGTGTATCTGGTTGGAGAAATGTTACAAGTGGAGTACCACAGGGTTCAGTTCTTACACTGGTAATGTTCATTGTCTACATAAACGATCTACCAGATGGAATACAGAATTATATGAACATGTTTGCTGATGATGCTAAGATAATAGGGAAGATAAGTAACTTAGATGATTGTCATACCCTTCAAGACGACCTGGACAGAATAAATATATGGAGCACCACTTGGCAAATGGAATTTAATGTAAATAAATGCCATGTTATGGAATATGGAATAGAAAAACATAGACCCAACACAACCTATGAATTATGTGAGAAAACTTTAGAGAATTCTGATAAAGAAAGAGATCTAGGGGTGGTTCTAGATAGAAAACTATGACCTGAGGATCACATAAAGAACATTGTGCGAGGGGCCAATGCTACACTTTCTAACTTCAGAATTGCTTTTAAATACAGGTATGGCAAAATACTGAAGAAATTGTTCACGACTTTTGTTAGACCAAAGCTAGAATATGCAGCAGTTGTATCGTACACATATCTTAAGAAGCACATCAATAAACTGGAAAATGTGCAAAGACATGCCACTAAGTGACTCCTAGAACTGAAGGACAAAAGCCCACGAGGAGAGGTTAGAGGCATTAAACATGCCAAAACTAGAAGATAGAAGAAAAAGAAGTGATATATCACTACGAAGAAAATAGTAACAGGAATTGATAAAATTGATAGGGAAGATTTCCCTGAGACCTGGAACTTCAAGAACAATAGGTCATAGATTTAAACTAACTAAACAAAGAAGACAAAAAATATAAGAAAATTCACTTTTGCAAACAGAGTGTTAGACGGTTGGAACAAATTAGATGAGAAGGTGGTGGAGGCCAAAACCGTCAGCACTATAATTTCAAAGCGTTATATGACAAAGAGTGCTGGGAAGACAGGACACCATGAGCATAGCTCTCATCCTATAACTACACTTAGGTAATTACACACACACATCTGGACTTCAGTTAGCAGAAGACAAAGCATATATCTAATTATCTATGGCACACAAGTCTAGTGTAATTACTAATAATAGTGATAAATATATGTACATTACAACGGTGATTGACACACACACATACACGAGAGCTGCTGATGTGCTCGTCTGGCCTTACCTCGTTAATATAGTACATCTGTAACAGAATTCATCAAGCATTTATGCAACAATTTACAAAGTTTGTATACATCTTTCCTTAACCATGATGGCATTGTTTACATGTATAAACAGTTGATGAGTTTCAGAGTACTATGAGGTTGTTTACAGCCAAAATAATCTTGGGTTGTGTAATTCCAAGCTTCTAAGTTGTTTAATAAATGTAAGCAAAGGAAAGATATATAGGTTTTGTAAGTGGTTTTATAAATGCTTAATGAATCCTTGTCTGAAAACAGTTCACATGCAGATTTTTATTAGTAGTACCGTTTTCATCATCATATTTGGTACAGTACTGTGCTCCATATTTATTTATTTATTTATATCACTTATTTTGTGATCAAATTACTGTATTCTGTGTATTGATTTTTTGTTTTGTTTATTTATTAACAAATCTTTTCTTTTTAAGCTTTAAATATTTATATTATTTAAGATTTACTTTATCAAAAACTAAATGTAATTATTTTATGGTTTTTAGGTAGATTATATAATTTTTGTCTTCACTATATATATATTACATTTACAGCCCCCTCTGCCTTGATTCAAGATTTCCTTCCTCAGCCTATCATCTGCAACAACAATTTAATATTATTGTACTGTATTAAAGTCAATTTTCTGGGTGGCTTCAGGAGGCCATCAGTCACCAGGTTCTCCAGACCGTGTGGAAGTCTGCAGCATCACTCCTCAGGAACCACCTTCCTTGTAGTTATCCTTCTCTTTGTAATTGTTCTACTGGCCTGTGCCCATTGCGACTTCTCATTCGCAACCGTATTGGTGATGTTCCACATTATGATGAAGTCTTCATGACATAGGTGGGATGTTTTGGATTATGAAAGATGTTCTTTGTGACATTGGTGATATACTTGTTTACGATGGAGATGTTCTTCACCAGGACTCATTAATTAAAGAACTTAACAAGCTGAAGCAAGAAAACATATTTGGAAATTGTCTTGATCTACAGCCTCTATCACACACACACACACACACTATATCCCTCTATCACTATATCACACACACACCCCATCCCAACAGAAATAATACTAATCTGTGAGCCACTAATGCTTCATCTCCTCCCTCATGGACCTCTTCATGACATAGGCAATGTTCTTCATAAGGAGGTCCCAAGCCAGCTCCACCTCCTCCGTCCATTCATCCTCCAGCGCTGGCCGGATGGCCTGCAGGAACTGGGGCCCCACCAACTGCAAGGAGAAGAATAGTATGGGTATTGTAATTTGCAGGTTGTGTGTGCCACCTGACTGATATATCACTGCAAATAAAATAGAAATACACAGTATACTGAACAAAAAAAAACTACTTTCGTACAGTCAGTGCTGTGTGTTGCTGTCTAAAGAGGAGACTCGACTGGTAAATTTGTACATAACATTGATGGCGATGGAGATAATGTTAAGTGGTGATAGATATACTATTAAAGCTACTAAGGATATGGTCGAAGAATATTCAAAGTCAGCCAAGGAAAGTCAGGGGATAAAGGTGTACATGATAATGTTGGTAATGATATAGAGTGGGAAACTCTGATCTTCACTAACTTTACGATAAAACTCTTCTTAAATATAAGGTAATGGCATCAGATACCACAACTTCTCTAAGCACATCTGCTGCTGACCTCTTTCCCGGGCACCCTGGGTACAAGATTATCGAAGTAGCTAAGTGTGTCAAATACCAGAACAAAAGGGAAACGTCAGTGCATTTAATCAGAGGAGAATAAAATATACAGTATCTCCACGAGAGAAGTATGGCATTTTTTTCTGTTTATGGTTTCTGATTCTTTCTCTCTCAAAAATCTTTAACTGGTCGGTATAGTGATGGCCTTGCTTCTTGCAGGTCAGCGTTCGATCCCCGACAATCCAAATTGTTGGGCACCATTCCTTCTCTCCATCCTATTCTGTCCTAATATTTCTTCCATGTTCTATATAGTCATACTGGCTTGGTGCTTACACCTGATAATTTCTTTTCCTTTCTTTCTGTCTGACTATCTGTGTCCATCTCTATTTCTCGATTTTTTTTGTCCCAAGTGACAACAGAAGGTAAACCGAGAGGAGACGTAGGAGACGTTAGTTATTTTCCGGTCTCTTCTCCCGAGATTATTTGTCTCTTCTCATTCAGAATGTCACATTTACAGTCAACTCCATAGAACTCACTATGCCAGCAGTGCACTTCCTCAACTTCTAGGCCCAACCACTTGGGGTGGATGGTAGAGTGATGATCTCGCTTCATGCAGGTCGGCGTTCAATCCCTGACTGTCCAAGTGGTTGGGCACTGTTATTTTCCTCAGTCCCAAATTGAGGGAACTATCTTTCCTCAGAAAGTTCCCAAATCCTTATCCTGATCCCTTCGCAGTGCTATATAGTCGTAATGGCTTGGCACTATATCCTGATAGTTCCCTCCCTTTCTCAAATTCTAGTAACACTTACTGCGTTCACTCCAGGCAGCTTACTGCGTTCACTTCAGGCAGCTTACTGCGTTCACTCCAAGCAGCTTGTTCCAAACCATAATGAAATCTGAACCAAGTAGCAATCGGGTCAACCCATGTGTTGCGTTGACATATACCAAGACTGTCAAACATCAGACGGGGCAAACTCAAGTTAACTTACAACTTTAAGCATCTCCTGCACTTGTCTAATAGCCTTTCCCTCTTCCAGCGGCCTCGCCAGACAACTTATGATCGGTAAGACGCTTACAGTATTCCCTCTCCCTTCCCTTCCGTGTGTCGCCATAACTCCCTCCCAACTCCCTCTGTAATACCTGACACGAGCCAAACATACTAATAAGCTTTCCTGAAGAAAGACTAAGTTACTAGAGGCGGTAGGCCCTCCACGTCTTGCACACACACGTCATTAATTAGCATTATGTTCGCTTGTTTTAAGCGTCTTTTTATGGTGTCTAGCGTGTAGTTTACCAAGAGGGTCAGTGCTCTCTTGAAGGAGATGTATCCTAAGGTACGAAGAATAACTTTGAGGTCTAACATGTTATGGAGTGAGAGTAAGAGAGACAGAGTTAGTACTCATTTATACCAGTTAGCATCTTAAGGGGTGAGATTTGTCTCAACAATGACGCAGAAGAGACTTCTTCGTCATTGAGACTAGACACCGAGACTACAAAAACTTTAAATTATTTGTTATTGGACACCTGAATGAATCAGCTCGCAGGCACCAGAATGCCTGCGAGCTGATCACCAATCAGCACGGGTATCCCAGATTCACACGAGGGATGATTAAAACAGAACACAAGTGGTATTCTCACCGATATATGCTGGACTTGGGCGCCGTAGTGGCAGTGGTTTCGGCCGCATTCCTGGACGAGGGGCACCAGTTTCTCCGGCTGGTCGAGGCGACGGACAGCCTTCTCCACGAAACCCATCACCCTGCAACCACGAAGACCCTTCGTAAGATCCACCAATATCTTCACCATCATCAGTTAGATTTAGATTTAGATTTTTTATTCAGGTAAAGGTACATACATTGAAGATGAGTTACAAACAATATGTTGGATTTAAAGATAGAGCTAATACTTCAACTGTTATGAAAAGTCTTATGTAAACGTGATAAATAAATGGCAAAGGAGGTTCCGTTTTGCTAAATTCAAAGTAATATATTTAGGAAGCAACAATTAATAGCCAAAGTGGATATATATGTCATAGAAGTGATGGAAGAGAATGGAGTTTGCAGTGACTAATATATCGAAGGCAACAATACAAGCTCTGACATAGTGTACCAAGCCAGTTGCCAGTGGACTGAGGCAGTATGCTGAGATAGTAAATATTGTACTGAGGCAGGGCAGTGAGGCATTATGTGGTGAGGCAATGCACTGAGGAAGCAGGCAGTATACCAAGTATTTAACTGAGGCAATATGGAGTGCACGCCTCCTCCTCCCAGAATCTTCTCAACCATCACCCTCAACCCAATATATAACCCAGTACCCAATATAACTCAGTACCCAATATTTCAGGACGGAACATGCATAGCAATTTTGGATTAAAAATACCGACATTCTCCATATTAAACACATTCCAGACCACGCTGTGTAAAAGTAATTTGTTTTGGTAAATTTCCTGGAATTATATGTACACCCGATTTAAAAAAAATTACGCTCTGCACAGAAATATAGGCAGTTAAATTTGAAAAATATTACGAGTACAGGCTGGTAGCTGAGTGGACAGCGCGCGGGATTCGTAATCCTGTGGCCCGGGTTCGATTCCCGGACTAGGCAGAGACAAATGGGCAGTTTCTTTCACCCCTCATGCCCCTGTTACCTAGCAATATTACCTACTATTAATATATAATATATACTAATTAGTTATTAGTAACAGTTGATTTATTAACAGTTGAGAGGCAGGCCGAAAGAGTACACAAGGTACCATTTATACAAGGTACCATTTGAGAGATGAAATTTTTCTAGAGAGAGAGAGAGAGAGAGAGAGAGAGAGAGAGAGATAGAGAGAGCACAGGTGCAGTAAACCAGGAAGCTTGAGCACACAGGTGCAGTAAACCAGGACGGTTGAGCACACAGGTGCAGTAAACCACAGGTAACGTGTTGCCAGTGGCAATACAGTCGAGGATAAACAAGGACTGGGAGCCAAATATTGACCCAGCCCTCTAGTTACACTCTGTACTCCCGCCTGCCTCTAGTCACCTGTTTCTGCCTCTAGGGGGACGAGTTCTAGCTCTTGGACCCAACCTTTCCAATCGCCGGTTGTCTAATGCAAGGCCTTCCGGCCTATTATTAAAATCAAGAACGGTTGTGTGTGTGTGGATAAAGGTATTTCCAGAGCTAAATCAGTCTTTGGAGTCTTTGGAAGCTTGGAGCGTCAGAGACAAGTTTATTATATACAATCTTGACAATAGTCTGAAAAGCAGAGTTCCTTAAGCGATAAGTCTCTAGACATCGCTGCTCCAGCAGACAAATGAATACCCACAAGCGTATACAACTATGAAGAAACCTGCCTGTTTAGAAGACTCTGTATAGAGGCTTCAACAGGTGTTTATAAGGCTCAGTATATAGGTCCTCAACAGGTGTTTATAAGCATCTTAGACTAAGATCCAAAGTCAACACCTGGGGACATTTGGTGACCCTCAAGACACAGCAGGAGGCGAGGCTCTCTGACTTGAAGGGTCAACACAAGGGCGACATACATGGAGGCCAGAGCCAAGCGTCACCCAGAAGATGGACCCCTTGCCAAGGTCGAAGCAAGGATAAGATAATGAAAATATATTCTCATTCTTTGTTATCCACAATTTCTTGTATAGATCGTTGTATTTTTTTATTGCAAGATAAAAATGTGTTTGTCTAGAACTGATAAAAATGAATGGGTGAATCTTGAACAAAAGATGGTAAATGTTTTTAATGTTGAACAGTGAGCGTTTGTTTCATCAAAGTGGGAAGTGAAAAAGGAGGGTGGATGGGGAGGCAGTGTGTGTGGGGGGGACCACACACACACACACACACACACACACACACACACACACACACACACACACACACACACACACACACACACACACACACACACACACACACTGTCTCTCGCTCTGTCTCTCTCTGTGTCTCTCTCTCTCTCTCCTACCTATTTGCAATTTTCTTGTCTCAATCACTAGCTCCCTTCTTCTCTCCTTTCTCTCACTCTGTCTCTCTTTTCTTGTCCCTCTCTTTTATAATACGTTCAACTGGAAAATGAATATTATAATTCAATAAATATATAGTTTTATCAGTGACACTAAATTATCAAAGATACCCCCAGAGAAGAAGCCGTTTTCTCAGAGCCGTTTTCTGTATTCAGCTTCGGTTTCAAAATACAAAAATAAATATTTTGGCGCGTTTTTTGAGTCAGTTTAATTACCGGGTTTAAAAATGTAAACGCAGGTATCTTGCACAACGATCAAAATCTAATTAAAAGATAAATATTTTATATTGCGTTTATGTTTGTTATTGTATGTCTGCGGTCGTGTGTGGTGTTCCACAGGGGATACCTAAGGGTGTGTGTGGTGTTCCACAGGGAGCTACTGACCTAAGGGTGTGGTGTTCCACAAGGAGCTACTGACCTAAGGGTGTGGTGTTCCACAGGGAGCTACTGACCAGGGGGCGTGGTGTTCGACAAGGAGCTACCGACCAGGGGGCGTGTGTTCCACAGGGAGCTACTGACCTAAGGGCGTGGTGTTCCACAGGGAGCTACCGACCAGGGGGCGTGGTGTTCCACAGGGAGCTACTGACCTGAGAGCGTGGTGTTCCACAGGGAGCTACTGACCTGAGAGCGTGGGCGCGGAGCTCCTTGGACTGCTGGACCTGTTCCATGGGCAACCCACGGAACGGGGTGAACACCTCTTGGACGTCCGGATGCGTCTCAAACAACCTGTTGGAACAAGTAATGAATTAATCAACAGATTCCAAACAAAAGTTTGTTATCCGCTTTAATCTAAAATCATTAAAACCAAAATGTTTATATCCAGAAAAAAATGGTGATAAGAGTTTAAGGAATCTAGGCGTTATATATTTCAAGAATATATTAATTAATCAGCATTCCTCAGTGATTAACTTTGATCAAACTTATCAAATTCTTTCTTTAAAACATTTAATACATTCACAGACACGAAGTAGCAAATCCCATTTTATTTTCGAGGTGTCGGCCTTGAGGGGCTTGGATTATTCCTTTAATAGAGAGGATAAAGGATAATTTTAAAGGCAGCTAGTAAATCAGATCTTGTTGGGAGGGGGCGAGGTGTTCCCTCTAGCTCTGATTGGTCCGGACTGATTGGCAGAACTGAGCCCCAGATGCCGCCAAAAGCATTGATCTGAACCAATCATTGATTCCTGATCTTCAAATTAATGCAATCCTTTATTGCTGATTCAACTGACGCTTTCTCTTACTCTCCAATCTTCCCAATCTTAACCTCTTCCCCCTTTCACCATCTTCTATCCTTCACAATCTTCCCTCAAGCCTACACAATCTTCCCTCCGCCCTAAATTCACAATCTTCCCTCAAGCCTACACAATCTTCCCTCCGCCCTAAACTCACAATCTTCCCTCAAGCCTACACAATCTTCCCTCCGCCCTAAATTCACAATCTTCCCTTCCGTATTCACACTCACGCGGATCTCGGATAATCCAGCTTACTCAACAGGCAAAACAGAGCTATTCCACGCCTCCTTGGAAGTCCTTGCTGTGTGATCAGAGAGCAAAGGATATAATGACCACAACAGAAGAACGACGCAAGGGGTCGCTGTAATCCTTCAAGCACAGGCAGTGGGGGGTCATACCAGCACAGGCAGTGGGTCAGGTTCTTTGGTAACCTTCACTATAATTTCTGTGTTTGAAAACCTGTTTTAATCGTCTTTGTGATAAAATTCATGTTTTATTTTTACATTTCCAACACGTATTGCATATTTTCTGTCGTTTGCAGGTTAAGTGTGACCAAATAGAGCAACACATGGCTGCTGGACACATAGAATGGAGCAAATCTATTACCATGAGAGACCACACTCTCCCCTTCCAACCACCTGGCTAGTTATTTGTAAATTGACAAGTGAACCTATGTTCTAAATAGAGATTATTCTCAAGTTATAACTTTATTGTAATATAAATCGTTGGTTTAAAATATAAAAAGTGCATGCTGAAAATGTTTTCATGTAAGAATTTGGTTTTCTGTGAACAGAATTCTCGGGTAAACTGAAATAGTTTTCGAATTCCATATTTCACATTATTGGCAGTAATACACCATATTAACATAAGCAAACTTAATGAAACCTATTCGAACCCTTAACCTAACTATGGATTAAGATTAGTTAATGGTACTAATCATGAAGTTGTTCCCAATCCCTTCTCTTGAGTGGATCTGCTCCCCGAGGACAGGTTGGCAGAATGATTAGGTCCAGTCTGATGGAAACTTTTAATTGCGCATAGACTGTTTATGCTGTGTTGGTGTGAACTAGCCTAGTAGTGCTTGCGGAGGGTTGAGCTTCAGCTCTTTGGTCCCGCCTCTCAACTGTCAATCAACTTGTGTACAGATTCTTGAGCCTACTGGGCTCTATCATATATACATTTGAAACTGTCTATGGAGTCAGCCTCCACCACATCACTGCCTAGTGCATTACATTTGTTAACTACTCTGACACTGAAAAAAGTTTTTTCTAATATCTCTGTGGCTCATGTGGGTACTAAGTTTCCACCTGTGTCCCCTTGTTTGTGTGTCCCTTACGTTAAATAGTCTTTATCTACCGTATGAATTACTCTGAGAATCTTGCATGTGGTGATCATATCCCCCCCTAACTCTTCTGTTTTGCAGCGATATGAGGTTTAGTTCCCGTAGTCTCTCACCCAACCACTTGGGCTGGACGGTAGAGCGACGGTCTCGCTTCATGCAGGTCGGCGTTCAATCCCCGACCATCCAAGTGGTTGGGGGGGAGGGGCACAATTCCTTCCCCCCCCTCCACGTCCTATCCCAAAGCCTTATCCTGACCCCTTCCCAGTGCTATATAGTCTTAATGGCTTAGTGCTTTCCCCTGAAAACTCCCACTCCCGTAGTCTCTCCTCGTATCTCATACCTCTCAGCTCGGGTACTAGTCTGGTGGCGATTCTCTGAACCTTCCGTAATTTAGTTTTGTGCTTGAAATACGGACTCCATGCTGGCGCTGCACACTCCAGAATTGGTGAATTACAGAAGGCCATTTGTGAGTCAATGAGGGCCATTTTGGACATCAGAAATTACTCTTTTTCGAGCATTAATCACGCTTTGAAATATATAAAAGATCTGACGGGATTTTTTGGGCTTGCGAGAATTCCGACTCTATTGTCAGTCAACTTAGAGGTCGGTTTAGCATGGCATGCAGTTCACAATAGGAATCTGGATATAAAATGTTCCCCCAGAGGCCTGATATAAGCGCAGTTTGAAGAGTGTTTAGACGACGATGAAGTGATGAAGTAGTGTATGACGATAATGATGGGGATGAGGCAGAAGACAGAGGAGATAAAGATAAGACTAAAAGTCAAATAATAAACAAGGCGAGGGAACAGAAAAAAATGAGCTAAAGAGTAGAGAAGGAAGAACACACACACACACACACACACACACACACACACACACACACACACACACACACACACACACACACACACATTAGGCAGTGATGTGGTGGAGGCTGACTCCATACACAGTTTCAAATGTAGATATGATAGAGCCCAGTAGGCTCAGGAATCTGTACACCAGTTGATTAACGGTTGAGAGGCGGGACCAAAGAGCCAAAGCTCAACCCCCGCAAGCACAATTAGGTGAGTACACACACACACACACACACACACACCAGAACGTAATACCAGTAAGTGGAAAGATGATAAGAACGTGCCAAGAGACCAACAGAACAACACACCCAACAGTAACGTGAAAGGTTTGCAGGGAGACAGGTCTCGCGGGTCGAGGCCCCCAGAACCACCTCCGTTCCTGCACCCAGCGCCACCAAGCAAGAGAGATGAACACATCAAAAGTTATATAATACACTTAGGGGGGGAATGAACACGTTCGAAAAAACGAAATGTCGAGAACGAATAAACGAGAGGCCATGAGAGGAAGCTAGAGATGCTGATAAGTAAACAAGAAGTTGAGGCAATGCTAAACATGAAGAATTCAACAATGAAATCATCTCTAGCCTAGCTAAGAGACAGCTGAAGCCAACATCTAGGACAAATAGATAAAAAATCACACCACTAAACACACCATCACACATATATACATCACCAAACATTTCCTCTTTACTGCATTGTTAATTTTTTTTGCTCGATAAGAACATTTCCTATCATGTGTACCTAGCGGGTGGGAAACAGAGACAGAGAGTTTTCAATATCCTGACACACAGCCTTCGGGAATAAAATCTCCATTCATTACAACTTTACCGGTGATAATATTACCTTTACCCTCACTCAGACCCTTCAAGCACACACTCTATATCCTCGAAACACATTGGATAGTCTCTCAATGTCTCTTATTCTCTCCACTCTCTATCTCGTTCTATTCCTGTCTGTATTATACCTAGTTTACCTGCCCGAAACGCTTTGCGTAATAGTGGCTTTAGGCATTGTATGTACTAGCTCTATCTATAAAGCCAACAAACTTTGTAAAATCTCTTTATGTATGTACCTTACCTAAATAAAAATTATTATTATTATTATTATTATAGTTCTCTCTCCCTTTCTGTTCGCTCTTTATCTGCCTATTTTCAATTTTTTTTCTTTGGATCTGCTTCGTTTAATGACTGTGTCACTCTTTATCATTTTCATTTCTCTTTTTTCAACACTGTCTCTTCGTTCTTTCATCTGTCTGTCTGTCTGTCTGTCTAGTTTTCAATTTAAAAAGTCATTGAAACTTCCAGTGAAATGTTGACAATAGCGGTGCCTACGCTTTGTGTTGTGATGAGGTGATTGTGCTGTGATGAGCTCATTGTGCTGTGATGAGGTGATTGTGCTGTGATGAGGTGATTGTGCTGTGATGAGGTGATTGTGCTGTGATGAGGTGATTGTGCTGTGATGAGTTGATTGTGCTGTGATGAGCTGATTGTGCTGTGATGAGGTGATTGTGCTGTGATGAGGTGATTGTGCTGTGATGAGTTGATTGTGCTGTGATGAGGTGATTGTGCTGTGATGAAGTGATTGTGCTGTGATGAGGTGATTGTGCTGTGATGAAGTCAATGTGCTGTGATGAGGTGATTGTGCTGTGATGAAGTCAATGTGCTGTGATGAGGTGATTGTGCTGTGATGAGTTGATTGTGCTGTGATGAGCTGATTGTGCTGTGATGAGCTGATTGTGCTGTGATGAGCTGATTGTGGTGACGAGTTGCTTCTGATCAGCGATGGTTGATTAGTTGATTGTTCCAACCAGGGTTGATGAATTGATCAAGCTGTCAAATGATGAAGAAGATGATGAATATGAAGATTATGAGGATATTAAAGATACGAGCGTGACAGCAGTACTGATGACCACTGCCGGATACCTGTTGTTTGCTAGGTGAACAGAGGCATCAGGTGTAAAGAAACGTTGCCCAAACGTCTCGACGTGGCACTCATTTTGAAGTAGTTTCATAAATTTTCTACCATGTGAACAAATTAATTGTTTTACTCTGTGACGCGTTATTTTTTTTTTAGATCCTGTGCTTAGGAAAAAAAAGTATATTATAATACATATTTTATTTAATATTTTGTCAAAAAAGTATATGTTTCTACAAGAATTTAAATTTTAGTGTTTTCGTAATTAATAATATTAAAAGAAATTGTATTAAAGTTTTTTTTTTGTTTACACAGCAGTTACAGCCCCGTTCCTGTGCCAGGTAAGTCCACTACGGGCTCACCATAGCCCGTGCTACTTGCCCCGCTCCTGTGCCAGGTAAGTCCACTACGGGCTCACCATAGCCCGTGCTACTTGCAACTTTTTGGTTCCCAGAGCTGTATGTAAATTAACCACAACAGGAGAGAGAGAGAGAGAGAGAGAGAGAGAGGAGAGAGAAGAGAGAGAGAGAGAAGAAGAGAGAGAGAGAGAGAGAGAGAGAGAGACAGAGAGAGAGAGAGAGAGAGATAAGAGAGAGAGAGAGAGAGAGAGAGAGAGAGAGAGAGAGATACAGAGAGGAGAGAGAGAGAGACAGAGAGAGGAGGAACAGAGAGAGAGAAGAGAGAGCGAGAGAGAGAGAGAGAGAGAGATAGAGAGGAGAGAGAGCAGAGAGCGAGAGAGAGACAGAGAGAGAGAGAGAGAGAGAGAGAGAGAGAGATAGGAGAGGAGAGAGAGGAGAGGAGAGAGAGGAAGGAGAGAGAGGAGAGAGAGCATTAACCATCCATTATTCAAATTTACTAACTAGCCTTTAAACTGCTCTACCATCGGTCTGATCTCGCAAGAAGCCTACAGGTCTTCTCTGCAGTCTTCCTCTGCTGTAGTGTGCCAGAATTATACAGCTGCTAGAATGCCTTTCTATAATCTACAGGAC